TAACAAACACAACAAAATCATTCTAGAGTTTATCAAAAAAAATCAATGGTATCGGAACCGGAAGTGCCCTCTCCACAATGTCAAACTGGAGGAGTGGGATATACATGTAATAAGACATTATGTAACTTTTGTTAGCAAGGGAGAGTCACTTTCGGTAATCCCTCTTGTCTTCTAATCAAAACCCTAATTAACATGTTTGGAAGAAGATAAACCGGAGTTTGAGACAGCTTTTCCAGTAGCAGAATCTAGCGGAACTAGAGGACGACCTAGTCTCCACATGGAAAAACATTCAATAACAGAATTTTTCTTAAATAGTGTTAACTCTTTGAGGAACGGTTGTCCTGCTGTGAATTCGTTTGAATGGAGGATTATGCAGTATCTAACGTTGTGATTTTTTTTTTAATTCTAGGGTGCCTTAACATTTCTGCATATTGTGTTAAAGTGCTTCAATAAAATAAATTAAGTGAAAAAAAGTTGTATTGCTACTTTTTTTATCTTGTTTACTTATTAAATTATAATGTTAAAATGAATAAATAAAAGCATTAACAAGTCAAAGACAGTTATAAAAACATCCCTTCCATTCCCAAGAAAAAGAAATAAATATGTATAATTCATTATTAAAAAATTACACTAATTTCGATGTAAATGAAACTCGCAACTGACTGTGTGAAAACAATAGGACACACCTACCCTCACCCTCATTTCTGTTGAACATTGTGGGTAGGAGGGGGCTGGATAAGGTCAGAAAGCATGATCTAAAAAGCTGAATATCTCGTATTCAAAAGCACAAATTCTTTGGTCAACATGATGCTAAAATCACAACGACAAACATCCGATTATCTAGGCCTATATATACAATAATTATTGCCAGGTTATTAAGACGTCTGTATTGAAGTACTTATTTATCAACAACCTTGCTGGATAATTCGGTCGCATTTGATATAATACTCAGTAGCCTACTTATGGTAACACAGCCATTTTCGACGAAAAGACGTCTTCACGCTTGACAAATTGTCTTTATATTGCCAGATTAAAAAATTAACATTAGCAGATATATACCGACCTGTCTGATCCACAAATCTGGAATATATGTCCTCTATTATCATGATAATACATGTATTATGGATTCCGGTTACATGTAATAGATAAGAGATATAGAAAAGACGGGTCATTAATATGTGTGCTTTACAGGTGGAACAAGTGCATGTTCCTTCTCATTGGCGGATTTATAGGAGAACAGAGGGACGTACCGTGCCCCCGTTTGTGTCCAAAAAATACACAAGATATGATAAATCGATGGGTTTTTTGTGATAGTGGACCCCAACCCTGACCCCGAACTGGTCGCCCCACCCCCACCTTTTCTAGATTTCTGGATCCGCCACTTTTTCTGCATTATCCCTTAAAGCAAAATGAGCTGCAACTTTTGTTGCAATATTGTAAATTACTACATGTATTTCGATGACAGAAAAATAATAACGTTTATTATATACCTAAAGTGTATCACTCAATTTTACTGTTGAATTTACGCTATCACGTGACGTCGTGATCCGATTTTCCGGATCACCAACATGTTGTTTTCTGAATCCATATCACCACTCTCTGAAACTGATGACGTAGTACGCAGAAATATGACGTTATTTTTCATGCGCGTTAAAAAGTCCCTTGTTTTTATGCTTTGTTTAATGGATTAATATTATACAATTAATCTCTAACGGTTTATTTTAATATATTTAGCCAGTTATCAGGGGGTATATAATAAATTTATCATTATAACAGTAACTTGATCCGAAGAGCCGTATCACGTCTCGTTGACAGGCGCGGATCATCAGATCAAACTCGACGCTTCGCGTCTCGTTAGATCTGATGATCCGCGCCTGTCAACTCGACGTGATACGACCCTTCGGATCAAGTTGCTGTTATAATAATATATATTTCTTGCTTTCCTTTAGTCTAATTGATCACAAAGGTTTAAGTTACATACAAATTTATCATGATAACACATTTTATTATATACCTAATGTGTATCACCCAATTTTACTGTTGAATTTACGCTATCACGTGACGTCGTGATCCGATTTTCCGGATCACCAACATGTTGTTTTCTGAATCCATATCACCACTCTCTGAAACTGATGACGTAGTACGCAGAAATATGACGTTATTTTTCTTGCGCGTTAAAAAGTTCCTTGTTATTATGCTTTGTTTAATGGATTAATATCATCCAATTTATCTCTAAAGGTTTATTTAAGGAATGACTCTAATTCTTGGCCATATTATCGAGTATAATCTGGTTTGGGTCAGTTTACGCTTTATAATCCGCGAAGCGGATTATAAAAAAGCGTAAACTGACCCAAACCAGATTATACTCGATAATATGGCCAAGAATTAAAGTCATTCCTTATAATTTAATTTTAAAATGATTAAACATCTTTTGATGTAAAATTGTGTTGCTTTATATAAGTTCAAATTTACCGCGCAATAATACAACCGTAGTAACGGAAGTGATTTGAAGCGAGGGGAGGTAATAAATGATACATAGATCTAGCAGCCATGATGTTTGTTTACACGAGGTAAGAAAGAGTAATTGTTTATAGTTGAAGGTACATTTATTAAATCTGGAATTTTCCATGGAATCCGAGGACTGGAAATGAGGGGATTGCATGGATATGATGATTAAGCTGGTAGTCAAGGGGGTGTGTCCCCATACCAAACCAGATTATACAAAATGTTATGCGTTCCTTTTTGGAAATCAACCAATGAGAGGCGAGAATACAAATAAAATTAAATTATTTTAATATAATTTAATTTTGCTTGTATTCTTGCCTCTCATTGGTTGATTTCCAAAAAGGAACACATAACATTTTGTATAATCTGGTTTGGTATGGGGACACACCCCCTTGACAACCAGCATAATCATCTGTATCCATCAATCCCCTCATTTCCAGTCCTTGGGATTCATGGAAAATTCCAGATTTAATGAATGTACCTTTAATTTCAAACAGTTACTCGATCTTACCTCATGTAATCATGGCTCATGCATCATGGCTGCTAGATCTATGTATCGTATCAGTTTTTACCTCCCCTCGCTTCCCATCACTTCCGTTACTACGGTTGTATTGTTGCGCGGTAAATTTGAACTCATAAAAACAACACAATTTTACATCACCAGTTGAATAATTATTTTGAAATTAAATTATAAGGAATGACTATAATTCTTGGCCAAATTATCGAGTATAATATGGTTTGGGTCAGTTTACGCTTTTTATAATCCGCTTCGCAGATTATAAAGCAAGCATGAACTGACCCAACCAGGTTAATTCGAATAATTTGGCCAAGAATTAAAGTCATTCCTTAAATATTAAGCCAGTTATAAGGGGGAATATAATAAATTTATCATTGTAACAGTAACTTGATCCGAAGAGACGTATCACGTCTGGTTGACAGGCACGGATCATCAGATAAAACTCGACGCTTCGCGTCTCGTTTGATCTGATGATCCGCGCCTGTCAACTCGAAGTGATACGACCCTTCGGATCAAGTTACTGTTGTAATAATATATATGTAATGTTCAGCATAGTAAAATTTTCAAAAAAGTAAAATGCACCGTATATTGCTTTAAACATAGTATTTTGCAGTCCAAATACTAACATGTTTCAATGGATTTGTCTTGAATTCAGTATTTGGTTTATTAAATTTTTATAGTTGTTTGACAAGGAGCATTTTTTACTTACACCAAATTCAATTAGATTGATTTATCGCTAGAAAAATAAAGGATATAAATTGATGTAAGATTGCAATAAAAGTTTGCATGCAATTTTAACAGAAACCAAATATACATAAAAACATTTTGTTTTGGATTTTGATGAATGGCGTTGTCATCTATTTAATATATAATAATTTCCTGATTCTTACGAAATGTTATACAAATTTCGATTTGAACATAAGGAAACACTTTAATTATAGCATTATGTAAGTCTAATTATGTTGTTAAAACTGTTAAAAGACCAAATTCTGTGTGTTTATCTGCAATAATGTAGCCCTCTTCCCCCCCCCCCTTTTTTTGGGAGAGGGCTACAACTCCTTAGGATCTCCGTAATGGTGCAAAGCGGGAGCGATTCGCTCCCGCACGGATTTCGGCTCAAAATTGTCAGTAAACGGTTATTTTATTTATATGTCTTACCTGGACTTCCAAAATGTAGTTATCAAAGACATAAATCGATCCAAAAATGTACAGAACAATCCATATATCAGTATTTTTCGTGTATGTGAACATCACAGCTTAAATTTAACCGCCATGTTTACTGACCTTGACAGATTTTATTTTCGGACAGCCAATGAGATTAAGGATCTAAAGGGAGCGGATTTCTTTTGATTTTCCTTATTTTAAGCCTTAATATCGCTGTTTACGAAAAAAGGAAACTAGGAATACTTTTATTTATCGATGTTTAGTATTACTATTCATCACAATTATTTATAAAAATCTACATTTGCTTTATTGAGTAATTCTAAATTTCAAGCACAAGTCTCAGTACGTCACGCGTGAACTGTCATGGCTGCTGAGTAAGCGAGAAGTAAATACACAGATTTATTTTACATGCTTTTTCGCGTTTAACGAGCTATGATGTCGACAGTGAATAAAAAATTTCGTCTTATTAGAAGTAAGTTGAGTGTAAAAACAATTTATTCTGCCTGCAGTCCCCGTATTTAAAAAATATTTTTGCACCATTACGGAGATGCTGTGGATTGTAGCCCTCTTCAGAAAATGTCAGATATAAAAATCGGAGAGGGCTACATTGTTGCAGCTATGTGTGCTCATATCAGCAAAACTACATCCACATTAAAATTAATTTCTGGTACTAGTACTACAAATGATCGTCCTTTTATATCCGATGCAGTAATATTCACATCGACCTGATATCCATGCAAAATGCACTGACCAAGAGGCTTAATGAGTTATTGACATTGCTTGAATAATTGTTTAATTATTGACTATAGTTACTGATAAGTCTACCTTTATAGTCCACGCATCTAATGATCACGTGACCATTTGACCCATGCCGTGGGTCACCTAAGTCAACAAAACTGTAATGCAAGGACATTCTTAATCGTGAAAATCTCCGGATACCTGAGATTCAGCATTAATCAATTTGCACTTACTTAACTTCAATTAAGTACTAATTACTATTTTTTATTCATGTGAATTTGTTGTTCGTAATCTCACCTTATTTCCGGATCCTTGGATGTTAAACAGAAAAAACAAGATCGGAACTTCCTCCATCATCCGCACGATCCTAAAACGGGAGTGGGTTGTTTTTATGTCGTTTAGTTTATAAATGTGATGTACTGGGATGCTTGTTTTCTTCTTGTTTAGTCTGAGCATCCAGGCCGGAGTGTTTAAGGAAGATGGCTTGTCGAAAGGTGGACAACCCGTGGGGACTGATGATTATAGCCTCGGCTTTCTGGATACAGTTTATCGCCTTTGGTGTGGCTCTCTCCTTTGGAGTCTACATTGTGGAACTTCTACGTCATTTTGATGTCAGTTTGCCATTTATATCACTCATCGGTTCCATAAACATAGGACTTTTTCTGGGTGCAGGTATTTAGATTGTTGTATGTTTTTTGAGTATCGTTAATGATGTGTACTTACAGATATCAGTATAACATTTTTTTTCCTTCAATGCATTTTGTTTCTTTTCAATGTAAGACAGCCATGGTTACAATGGTCGACCGTCTTATACCTTTTGCATAGATTTTCATCTTTAAAAAATGTTTGGCCTCATATATACATGTAGAAATATAAATTTTTTAAAAGAACAATAATTATAGATGATGATTTTAACTTCATTCATATTACATTAATATTATCCCATGTCAGAGAAAGATTTTGGTTCTTCATATATGAACAAGTTTCTATCTCTCTATCCCTTTGAACCAAGTTTATTTGAAATTGCGCTAGAGAGAAGCTAAAAACTGAGCTAAAAGCTAAATTAAAGAAAATGTATTTTAAAACTTTGAATTATTTTATGCCAACCAAGTTGCGATAATTTATTTTTTTATTTAAATAAAAATACAGAAATCGCTAATTGTTGTAATTTATTCAATGCACAAGAAAAGCTGTACTTATCTTTTCTCTACTTTAGGTCCTCTGGCCAGTATTATGATGAGGATGATGTCATACCGCAAAGTGTGTCTATTGGGGGCCCTACTGAGCAGCACTGGGCTTATTGCCCTACCATTTACAATGAACATGATTTATCTCCTCTTTTTCTACGGAATTCTGACAGGTGAACATGCACAATGTGCAAAATTATAGCAGCTCACGCAACTATATATGAACAAGAAAGCATTTAATACTAATGTAACCATCAATATTGTCGCCCGGGAAATAAATAAAGTAAACAATGGAAATGAGTCTTGATCATCAAACCGCTTGATATGCATGAAAAAGACATGCGTCTAAATGATGGAGACGGATGAAAATCGAACAAAAACGATACCCTTTTAAACTTTATAAATTCCTCAAGTAGACCTAAATGTTGAGTGCATAAAATATGAATTGAAAATCAGACACATGCATCACCTGCATTTGGAAATTCAAAAATGCATTTCACTTTTTAAAGAATATAAAACACGGACTTTGTAAAGTACGTTTTTGTGCGATAAGTAAAATTCGATGTTCTAAAAAAAGGACCTGTCGTTTTTTCGATAGTAAATGATAAGTAACTTTATATATTAAATATGAAAACCTTAAACATTTTTATTAAAGATTCACTTTATGGAAGTAAATATATTAATTGTATATCTCGTAACAAAAGAACATTCTGATTTATAATCTTTTTAATGTTTAGAAAACCATTAATCATGAATAACTTCTCCCACTTCAATCCCCATACTCCAACACTTAAACTTATATGTATATAGCAGCCCGGTCCTCCAGGCTGCAATAAGTCCTCATACAAAACATGCCGTCGCACTAATACACAGCGACATGCTGTGGAGCAATGTCAATCGGAACTCCTCGGGTGTTTTGCGAACTCAACAATTATTGTTGAGTTCGCGAAACATCCGAGGAGTTCCGATTGGGAGCAATGTAGTGGTGTGTAAATTATCCTAATGTGACGTCATGTTGTTAAAGAGCTAAAGCCACGAAGTGCCAAAATATGCCCTGTTACCAAAATAAATGAAAGTTTATTCTGTGATAGTTTAGACTTTTTGGATTATAACACAATTTATTTTTTAATGATATATTTTCAAGTTTTCTTTTTATAGTCGTTTGAATTTGGTATTGTTTTCAAGTGAGATCTACATGTACAACATCATGACTTTTGGCGTTATATATATTATATACTGTATTAAATGAAGGTATTATATGTACATTATTGGGGATAATCAGCTAAAATAAACCCTACGTAAGCGCGACGATGTGTTATAAAAAAAATTACGTCATCACAATAGATTCCTTAAATCTTGTGCCCTGTTGAAAACAGTGCACCACTGCAATATATATTCATAAAAGAGAGATAACTCTAGTACTTAAAATGACTTAATGTAAAGATGTTATGTCTATTACAGGTATTGGTTACTGTTTATTGTACGTCCCCTCTTACACAATGTCTGGTCTGTACTACGACAAACACAGGAGCCTGGCGACAGGGGTGGCGACATCAGGGTCGGGACTTGGGGGGGTCGTCTTCCCCAATCTTGTCCAGTACCTCATTGACGAGTTCGGATGGAGAGGTTCGTTACTGATAGTGGCTGGGATCAACTTGAACACTTTCATTTTCGCAGCTCTTCTTCGAGAATCTCCAGTGCAAAGACAACAAAAGGCGAAAGAGAAAACGATAGAAATGAAGGCGATTAAAAGAAACGATTCTAGTCAGATTGAGAGGGAAAGCCTTCTGATGGAGGCAAGCACTTCCGATTCGTCTCCGCAGTCGGTAAAACCTACAGGACACGAGATGAACGAGATACAGAAAAAACGGGAAACTAATGGTATAGCGATGGATGATTTAGAAAACGAAAATCTTCTCACCAACGAATCCTCCGACGAAAATACGAATTCTAATTCAATTCTAGTGGTTTTGTTAACTTTGTGTCGTAATGTGCCATTTTGTATCTTTGTTGTCAATAGCATTCTTTGGAATTTTGGAGCAGTTATTGCAGTTATTTTAGGTCCGGACTATTTCACTTCTGTTAACTTTTCTCAGACACAGGCAGCCACTCTTGTTTCACTTATCTGTGGCGGATCTTTCGTCGGGTGTCTTCTGGGAGGTGTCATCGGAAATATACCAAAGATAAATAGAATGTACCTGTTTATTTTTGTTAATTTAGTTGTAGGAATCTTAGGACTGTTCATGCCATTAGAATTCACCCACACCATGTTCGGACTAGGGATTGTAGGGATTTTATGGGGAACGATGTTGGGTTTATTATTAGGACAGCTGGTCGCTGTGACGGCGGATTTAGTGGGGATTCAGTATTTAGGAGACGCCATGGGGTTCCTGATGTTGGCCAATGGCATTGGTTGTGTCGCCGGTCCTCCAATAGGAGGTATGTTAACGTTCTTCCCAAGGTGCACTTCAAAACAAAGAGACCAGTTTACTGTCATAACAAACTAATACATATACTAAGTATGATTAACCCATGTGAATATTTGGAAAGAGCTAGCTTCAAGTATCGGGAAAATTAAGTTAAAATGTAACTTCATTTGACACCGAATTACTAATCAATTCGAGTTGATAGAGTCCTAGTGTAGTTTTTTTCCCATTAAATTTGCTATTAATTCCCCCAAAATTTTAACATCTGTTTTTTTTTATATTGATAGGTTGGATTGGAGAAGCAACGAATTCACCAGCTACCGCATTTTATTTTTCTGCTGTCGTCATTATAGTGGGAGGACTCCTGGTGTTATTCATTCCCTTGTTCGAGAAATACAAAGGCCAAACAAAAAGTGACAGTGATTTCTCTGTAGAAGTCACCGTTCCTGATAATTGCGTTTAGTGTTAGATAAAAAGGCACTTATTTCGTATACAGGAGACCCCTACTTATTTTTACCACACACCTTGTGGGAGTGCCCCGTCAACGAAACAAGTGCCTGTGATTAGATTTAAGGTTTCGTCAAAGATCAACATGTCTAAAATATTATTTTTGCAATAGCTCCAAAACTATGTCTGGTATAAAGTCAAAACGTTTACAGTTTATAGATATATCATTGATTAATAGCGAGCGCGTAGCGAGCTCAATAGACTAACGTGTACGACAGGAAATTGGACTGAAATTATTGTTCAAGAAATTTTTATCTCATTGAAAAAATTCCAAACTCCCAATAATTCTTTGCGGTGCATAGCAACATGGTGGCTAAAACATAGCAACAACGTATTTGAAAAAAAATTAAAAACAACGATTTAATGCAATTTCCATGCCACAAAACTATCGTTTGCGTTCCGAGTCAACAGGACTTTTTATTTGACGTCATACTTTCGTCACTGAAACGGCTCGGGTATTTCCGATTTTGTCGGAAACTTCCGAAAAGTTCGGAATCTCGATCCCGATGCCTGGGAAGTGATTTCTTTTAATTCTTTTCTTCTTTTTTAATGAACTGAGGATAGGCAGTGCAAGTAAAAGCTAATTTGTATAGGTTTTTTGAAAGTAAATTTTTATAACTGCGCTCGCCCCAACGGTCGCACCGTAGAACATATTACCTCATATAGTTTTGAGGCTATTGTAAAAATTAATTTTTGAACATGTTGACCTTTGACGAAACCTTAAAATTTTTGGTGCTTATGTGGGTTTGTCAGATCTCAGTTGATAGACATTTGTCCTAGAAGAGTTATCTTTCTTTAGATGGTTGATGTACCTTAAAATGGAAATCTCGTGGTGTATGTCATGTCCATTTTCATATCCTATTTAGAGTTATTGCGTGGACCCTGAGGTCCACGCAGTATTTATATAAGCGAGGTTAAACCGGATGCCATGGGCATTTGTCAGGCTACGCATGCGCGAGAATGCTGGAGAGTTTGCAACTGCATCATCTCGGGTCCGTCAGAGTTCGGAAAAAACAACTTTCGCCAGTCGGAAAGGCCCGAGAATCTGCGATTGGGAGAATTCACCCCCTAGGACAGCTTACCCGTAGAATGATTCGCCATAATCGAATAAGAATAGTCCATGTTGGTTGGCAAATCTCGCTTTTAAATCTGTATATCGTATTAATTTGCGAATACGAAGTTCTTTCTTATACATATACTTTTATAAAATAAATATTGATTCCATGCAGATTTTAAAGAGTAAGAAGAACTTGCCTTCATCGGCATTTGTTTTGTGCATCGAGACTCGCAAAAATAATTTGATATAGGCCTACAGCAATTCAAATACAGCTTGATACAGCCCTGTAGCAACGGTTTTCCCCCGGGAGCTCTGAGGAAGGAGAGGGGGGCTTTGAAAAAAAAATCTGCGTACTACAGAATTATATCTACACGTGTTCCATCAGATATATTTTTTCAATTATAGATTTCTTCCGTATATATCAAGAACAGATGTAAAGTCCTTGCCATTATGGGTTACATGTATCAATATAGCCCCCTTTTTTAAATGACAAATTTATATGCATAAATTATGTAAGCCATTCGGAGATAACGTATAACAAATTCGTTATTATTATTAAAGTTCTATGAGCCATAGTAGGCAAATCATAATAGAAAGTGTGAAAGAACCTACATGAATGTTCACTAAACCTAGATTAAAGGACATCAACTTGTCTTTCTTTAGAGGGTTGATGAACCTTAAAATGGAAATCTCGTTATGAATACTACGTGTATATGTTTTTTTTTATATCCAAGTTAGAGTTATCTTTCTTTAGAGGGTTGATGAACCTTAAAATGGTTATCTCGTTATGAATACTACATGTATATTTTTTTTTATATCCTAGCTAGAGTTATCTTTCTTTAAAGGGTTGATGCACCTTAAAATGGTTATCTCTGGGTGTACATTATGTACAAGTGTACTTTTTTTTAAATACCGGTATACTCAGTTTAGGCATTTTGTTAAGTTGTTATGGGCGTTGACATTGTGTGATATTTTTACACTGAATGTTTTTTTTAATCAAATTTTATTTAAAGTTATAGATAAGTGTTTAAATTGCATTTAATTTCTTGCTTGCATAGAAAAAATATGTCCCCACCTTTTCTTCAGAATCTCACATCATTAATATGATTATTGTGTACTTTGAGCTTTTGCTTTAATTTTGTGTGTGTGTGTATGTGTGTGTTTTGTAATGAATTTACTTCTGTTAACCAAAACCAAAGCAAAATTATACGAATTCATATTTAGTAAAATGGATGACTTCTCCATCGTAAGTCGTATTAGCTGCAGAACTGTAGCTCTCCGCAAAATTATATTGACAGACAGAAGGAGCAATAAACTCCGGTCTAACTGTTACAATATATTTTTTCGGAGAGCTACAGTTCTGCATCTAAAGTCATATAATTAAGAAATGAGAGGGATTGTTCGTAAAAGTCCTAATGAATCGTTTTATAAGGTTGTATAATCATAACAATGCAATATTTTTCTTCTCTGTTTGGAAAACATGTTCTTACATGAGGTATTAGATTAAAACGATTTATTAACAAGTTTGCACGAGTCGGCACGAACGAGATATAGTTTCCCTTAATTAACCTCATGACAAACGTACTTTAAATGAGTAGGGAAGCATCTTGGAGTATTTTCTTTAAAGAAGTAGACAGGCTTTCACCTATTCTCTTTAGAGAAGAAGGCAGTCTTTCGCTTTCATCAACTTTAGAGAAGTGGTCAGGCTTTCGCATACATACATTGGAATACAGCTTAGAGATGCTTCATGTAGAAAACGGCACAGTCATGCAAGATTGAAACTTTTTTCCCGATTAAATATGCGTATTTTGCGGGATTTTTATTTTTATTATGAGTCAGGACAACCTTATACCTGGTATATCTATGGTTTACTTGTTACATCGACAACAAAACTTGTACGTTTGACAATTTTACATATACATACATATACATATGTTATTTATCTTTTTTATATTTATTCATATCGATGCATTTGTAATGAATAAACAGATTTAGATTTCGTGTTTTTTTTTGTTCTTATATCGCTGAAGAAACGTCAAATTTGTCAAATAACTTTGCTGTTTTACTAATTCATTTCCAAGAATTGCTAGACTACTGTCAGCAAAGTGTAAATGTAAGCTAATTAAAAATAAATCGGAATTTCTCTATGGTGGGTATCAAAGTAGATGCAGAATCTAGTTTCCTGGTTGAGAAGCCTCCCCCATCCTTGGGACACTGAAGTATATGCATCCCTCCTATTAAAATATGGTATTCAAAGACAATAGTTAAAATTATACAGTTGGTATCAGAGCAGAACTAGACGTATGATTTGTTGAGAAAATTGGAACAGACAAACCAAAGCAACAGATTCAGGCATTGTAGAAACCTTCTATTAACGATGGTACCGTTTTTGTTTCTCGCTTCCAGATTTACTTCTTCTAAATTCCAGTATTAATTTAAGTAATACTTTAAAGCCAAAAAACTGAAGGGTCCGGGTTTTTCGCTATTCCATCAGCATTTAATGTCTTTTGTCTTTCTTTTGTCTATTTTTCATTAAGAAGGGAACATAAATTATATGCGTTAGCTTGCACCACTTACTTTTGATTAAAATCATTTTGGACAAAGACTTGCTGTATGTAAGCAACTAAAGTTTATGGTCGCAGACAAACCCAAATATAATACTGACCTTCCAGAATCACTTACAAAATACAAATTTGAGTATTAATTTTGGTATCCTCCATATGGAAAAATAAAAATTTAACAAGTTGCCATGGATTCTAATAATATTCTATGATGCTTCACAATCACATGTGGTATGCAATATCAGCATACAATGATTTGTTGACTGAGAAATATTTTATCCTTGCAGGTGAGTTGCTTTTCATTGCACCTTATTTCTAACTTACCCTTAAACTTTGACTACTAGAATACATGTGTTACTAATAAATATTACACTCTGCAAAAGGAAAGAGCATGCTTTCATGAGGAAAGATCTGAATTTAATAACATTTATTCAAATAAATTGTCACTAATTATAAATGACATTAGGTTTGAATGTTTCATTCACAAAATGACATTCAGCATCAGATGTATTTGTTTCCATTATTTCAGATCTCAAAGATGATGACAAAATAGTAACACTGTGAAATTCACTGTCTTTAAGCTAAGCATAATACATCAGGTTTGCTTTTTTCTTGGCTTGAACTTCAATAATGGCATCCATGTAATCTTCATGGTCCAATTCTGTGGCTTCTCTCCTTAATGCAATCATACCCTAAAATTAAAACAACAATGCACTTTTATCTTTCTCATGCCTTCTTACATCATAAAATTTAGACAAAATTCTATTGAACAAATGAATTTGAAGAAAATGTCCTGATTATAGGCACCCATATTTCATGGTAATCTAATTAAAATTAGATGTTAGATCCACTCACAGACTAGCTACACTAACATCTAAGAACAACCCATAGAGGGTCATGTCAGAGGTCAAATTCAGAACAGCTCTAGACTTATTGGCTTCAACAATATACAATGATTTTGCAGGTAACAATTTGATTGGTTGATAGAATTTGACCTCTGACGTGACCCTCAATGGGAAATTGTAAGATGTTAGTGTAGCGAGTATTCGAGCGGATCAAATATCTAATTTTAATTAGAATGATTTCATGGTTCATTTGACAAGTATATTTTGATTGTTATTACGAGTGTTATATTAATATATTAGGAGTGTTACTCATATGTACAAGTACAATTATAAACATTGACTTACAGCTTCCACACATACTGCCTTGAGCTGGGCACCATTGAAATCATCTGTACATCTTGCCAACTCTTCAAAATTTACTTCTTTGCTACAATTCAAAAGTCAGTTATCATTTTTAAAAAAAAATATTTTAAAAGTTTTTAAACTTTATTATGAGTTTTGCTTTACGAATATTATTCTTGCGTATCAAAAATAATCAACATCATCATACTAAGAAGATCAATATAATTAAGTGTGTATCTTTTATTTTTTAAAGGCATATATTGATATCCAAAGAGGAATATAAATAAAGCATTTGTTTATAACTCCCTACCTAACATTCATTTTCCTGGTATTTTGAAACAAAGAAACATTTATTAGTTCCTCGCTACCTAATCGTGGTCTGCAAGAACCACGTGGAAATTTTTGGATC